TTAAAATATGCAGATATTTTAGCCATCTCGGCTAAATTTGTGACTTTCAATGTCCATTCTTGAATTGTAGGCAAGTCTTAATAATCAGATCTTATTAATATCACATAAGAAAGTCATTAAAATCCATTTGCCAGTCTTTTAAAGTTGTGAAAACATTCTGAGGATGGAGATAACTTGTGATGCATGACAGCAGCTGGTTTCTTTTCTTTTTCTACCAAGGGCTGTTTCCATTACCTTTTTGTGGGGTCCAGGTAGAAATACAGTATCTGGCTGTCTTAGCTGCTCCACCACATCAGCAGTGGGATAAATAAACAGTAAGCCAGGCTCTGTTTTCTTAGATTCTCAATAGACCATGGAGAAAACTATTCTGGTCTACTCATCAAGCATAGCAACCAGAATGCCTGGGTAGACCCATGCACTCCTAGAGAATCAGTTCACTCCCACTTCCTGCATCTCCTCAGTTTTCTTTTAAAATACTTGTGTAGCTATGGGGCTGCTGAGTAGTCCTCCGTGTACTCCATATCTGGAGATGACCAGATTTAATTTATTTCTTAGGCATACGGGCCACTTCATTTGTAGCTGATGCTGAGAACTCCACTTTTATAGTAGTGGTTAAAACAATATCAGAATCGTTTTAATAATCTCATTTGAATGTGATATGAAAGTAATATTATATATAAACTGCTTTCTAGGAGATCATCTCCACTTCAATCTCTGACCAGTCCTGCTGGACAGGCAGAGATATTGCTGGGAGCAGGCGATCTCAATGATAGCCAGGTCCTAACCCAAAATTAATATATTCTATGGATACCTTAGCATATTTGCACTCCTGCTAGGGAGCCTCCTTCTGTATGAGTATCAAGGCAAGAAACAATGACATGTTTTCTATTCCAATCCATGGCAAAATCTCCAAAGGATGTCTACTGCTCGTATTAAGCACCATCAAATATTACGGCTTCGGGGTATTCATGAGCCAGGCTTCAGTCTGGATCCTAGGAACTCTATGTCACAATTCAGCTTTTCTACCTTTTCTTTAATGTGATAACAACACTTCCATACTGCTTGGACCTTGATAATCTGTATTGATCTGAGGAGCAACATCTGATTTCCTGGCTCAAATATGTTCTTATAAGGTGCTCTGTAATAGCCCTGAAAAATCCTCTACTCTTGGAGGATGTTCATCTCTCTATAAACAAATCAGGTCCAGGTCCCATTGGTGAAGGTATAACATTTGATGGGCCTTAGGAAGCATCCCTTTTCTGTCATGATGCCTTTCTTGTGGAATAGCCTTTTCCCTGGATAGGGACAGCCCTGATTCTGCTAGACTTCCAGAAGGCAGTTTTTCCTTCTCTTGTTCTATCATCTCACCTCAATTTTAAAAATCCTGTGGACAGTCTTTCTACTTTACCTTACCTCACCTCCTGGGACATCTTTGCGTCACAGTATGCAAATCAGAATGAAGCATTCATTCTACAATTAGCGCTAAGCATTGAAACAGGATTATTTTACAAAATTAGTGCAATTCAGTAATTGCATTCAAGAGACTTTATGCCAAACAGTCTAACAACCAATCAGAATCAGATGGACAAAATCAAAGAAAAGCATACTTATCTCCTCTGAGATAAAGCAAAGAGCAAACCTTTTAAAGTTTACTGTTTGCTTTTTGGAATAAAATTTATCCCAGGTTATTTTTAGGGCCTGGAAAAGAAAATCTCCCTTCCCAGCATTAAGAAACCCCAAAGAATCCATCCACCATTCAGAGGCCAAGGAAACCACTAGCATTTCACAGTATGTTACCAATGAGGCCCAGAAAATGCGAAACAAGGCAAGATCTTCCTCCTGCAAATCAACATCTAATACTCTATCAGCGCTGCTTCCAAGCTCTGCCTCTGGCTTTAAAAAGTGAGAGAATTCATTCATCTGCAACAAGCATTTAGCCTTTTTCATCTCTGACCAGAACCTCTGCGTGCCAGTTGCCAGTATGTTTCCGTGGGAATAATAGTTTCATCCCTTGGGAAATAAAAGTTAATATTCCAAGCAGATGACAGATTAAACTGACATTTGGATTTGATTTAACAGCCATGTAGTTTTGTTGAAGTTGCATCAGTTGTTCAGCTGATTAGAAGCTAGCTGCACAAGTGGCCACTGGCCTTTATATATGAAGCTTTTTAGTCTATAAAACTAATGTACCATTGATTTTTTTAAAAGTTATGCATTCAATCCTTATAAAAGGACTTGTAGCAGGCAAACTCTGGGACTGAATTAGTTTTTCCCAATGTGCTTGATGCCCAGCAGGTGCATTCTTACTGTCCCTTCTGGAAGATTTAATTGGCTCTTCAGAGATCTGGCAGATCCGATTTTCAGCTACTCTCAGAGATAATCAACTCCATAAGTCAACTACCAGGATCTCAAGCAACTCCAGAAGAAGGAGAGAGTGACGAGAGGGATGAGGCAATAAGCGGAGTGAAAACAGCAGGATGTCTCTGAAGAAGCCTTAAGATCGGGTATTTCAACTGCTGGATCTGTCAGCACATCCAATGGCAAAGAATTATTTCCTGGATATAATCAAGACTGAAAGAATTAATTCTAACCTGGAGATCAAAGGCAGAGCTTTGTAGGAAAGTGGCGTGCAGAGCTCCAAATCTAAGGTACATTTAGATTCTTGCTTTTATCATTAAGAAAATATTGGATGATTATTAATACATGGAGTTTCTGTGGAAGTATATATGGATTTTGGCTACTGTGTGATTGAATTCTTTTTTAAGCCTTATTATTTGGGGAATATTCGGCTTGTTAAATGAATTCTTCATTGAAGGAAGATTTTTCCACAAACCTGCTAACATGTAATAGTCCAGAATTCAGTTTGGTACAGAATTTGACAGATAGAACTAAAAGGAAACCACAAGGGTGAAAATATTGAAAATTTCTAAATACACAGTAATTGTGTTCAGACCAGGGGAATAAGCAATATTAGCTATATTAACTATAAGATAAATCAGGTTTAATACTTTAGCAGTGAATAGCAGAATTTTTCCTTGGTATCAAACTATGTTTAACCTAAAGAAGAAAATGCTGGGAATGACATGATAGCTATCTCCCAATACTTGAAGGGCTGTCATTGGGCTGTCAATTTATTTTTCAAAGCACCTGAAACCAGGATAAGAAGTAATGGGTGGAAACTCATCAGAGGGAGATCCAACCTAGAACTAAGGAAAAATTTCCTGACAGTGAGAACAAATAATCAATGAAGCAGCTGAGTCTCTGGAGTTGTGCATATTCCATTGCTGGAGGTTTTCAAGAAGAGACTGGGCAACCATTTGTCCAGGATGGAATAAGAATTTCTGCCTTGGGCAGGGGGTTATGCTAGAAGACCTCCAAGGTCCTTTCGAGCCCTATAATTCTATGATTAATAGGTGATTTTTCACGTATAAGTGAAGTAAGGTGAAGTTTCACCTTACAAGTGGTACCTGTAAGTGGTACCAAATCTTACACTGTTTGGGAACACAGTTCTCAAGTGTAAGTCATAATAATACTCTAATATTTTTACTTAAGAGGGGAGTAACACGTTTTTTACCCTTTCCTCTATACTGTCTGTATATGGATAGTTTGTATCAAAGTCAGCTTTCAACTGCAGCTGGTTGTTTGACTCAATTACCTGCAGAACCTGCAGTTTGTTGACTAGACGCAGCATAGGAATGCATGAGGAATACAATGCTAGTCCTATATGTTGGTCGTGGTTGAGATTTGTTTCCATTCTGCTGGCTAACCACCTGAACATAGCACTGCATGTGTATTTGAAGCAAGAGTGATAGCATTGGCACCTGCTTTCTTACCCACTTGTAAAATTCCATTCTAGTCCTTCTATGCATGCCTTATTGTTGGTTGCTAGTTCTTGAGATATGATAGCAATTTCTAAATATTTAAAATGTCTTAAGTATCAACAAAAACTGGGGATGTTAAGAAGACCACCTTGTCTTCCTCACACCCACTGTTCAGCAGGAATACCCTTTCCACACCTCCTTTCCCTTTGTAGAGTTTTCCAGAGTTGTGTCCATCCAACATCCATGCAAACCATATGTTCTTCAGGAGAGTTGTGGTTTTGCTTTTTTGCTTAAGATTACACTACAGTAATAGTAATGGCCCAATTTTTAGTCCCCCAAAATCATAGGTATACTTCAGAAGTGCTGATTTAAATCAAAACATTTTATTTTAAACTTAATGTGGCAAAATTATTCTTGGTACGAAAATAATCCGCAAACCTAGGAATATAATAAAGTCTTGATAAAAGGACTTTGAGTGTAACATGTAATGTTTAATTAGTAATCTGCATCCAAACTTTTAATGCAAATAGTCTTTTTGCTATAACACGCAGGTGGCTCATAGATTCATGGCCATAAACTAAAATTGTATTATTTTCCATGCACTGCAAAATCATAATGGCTGAACAGATTTTTTTTTTTACTTTATTCCAATACTGTATATTATTTGAATCATTTTGTTTTCTCTTTTCCTGTTTCGATAAATGTGATTCCGTAACCTTTTATTTCTTTGATATCAGTTTCAATATGACTGGAATGCACTCAAGGCAAAATGCTTCATCCCAAGATATTAATCTTCCTCACCACCAGGCAGATGGAGACCCTTTTGCATCAAAACTCTCAAAGGAAGCTGACATAATAGCTGGAATTTATTTATTAATAATAGGTAATATTGTTCTGTTTTAGCTATTGTTCTGGTAGGAGTTGTTGAAATATATGTAGATCTGTTTTGTGATAAGACTTTGCTACTGTTGATTTAATTTTGAATTTTATAGAGTAATGTTTGTTAGATTCTTTGTCCATAACCCATAAAGCAGTACTGTTTGAATTGTACTCAGTCTTCTGGGAGGATAGAATTGCCTTTTAAAAGAGTTTTGTGATGTGTCATGTTCTATTATTGCATCTTCTCAGAAAATATTGGCCAAAGTTAGAAATCTTGTTACCAATTCCTTGGGGATGAGGCAGATATAACAAGGGAGCGAGGGAGAGAGAGGGAGGGAGGGAGAGGGAAAGAGGGAGGGAGAGGGAAAGAGGGAGAGAGAGATCCAAATCTAGGGATTTTTTTTAGGAAGAGGATGAAAGTTAATCAAATTTGGCTTGTTAGCTAGCATTTTATCCAGTCATATATTCTTCTAGGAGCAAAGTTATTAGAGGAACTGGTTGAATAATTTTTCTACACTCTTACTCATCTCTCTTTTAGTCAAAAAAGAAGAAAATTTGGCCAGCCATAGCTCTTTCTTTCACCTTGCTGATGTGATAAGGCTTTACCCTTCTGTGCAACCATAGGGTAGGAATTTATCAGAAAAGCAGGACATTGAGACAAATTGAAATAAAGATTGTACTTTTGGAGAAATTATGTTTGCTGGATTCCAATGATCTGTTCTACCAACTAGTCCCAATTAATTCCAATAGCCAAACTAGAGGCTCCAAAAAGGGAAAATGCAGAATGTCTAGATATTGTACAGGTAGTTATGACCACAAATGCGCTCAAAATTTCTGTTGATATACAAGGCAGTTGTTAAGTGAGTTGTGCAGTCATTAAATGCATCTGGATTCCTCCACTGTCTTTGCTTGTTGGAGGCCAGCTGGGAAGGATACAGATGGTGATCATATGACCTTGGACAATCATAACTACATGCCAGTTGCCAAGTGCCTGAATTTTGATCACCTGGCCATGGGGATGCTGCAACAGTCATAAATGTGAAAAATGGCCATGTCTCTTTTTAAAATGCCGTTGAAGCTTCAAATG